GTTAAATGGTCTCAAACTAATAGGTTTGCTGATTATGTTACGTCTGTGGCTAAAAGAAAGATAAGATAGTGGTCATATTGGTAGGAAGACTTATTGGAACGCACTTCGTCCGGGGTCCATTGTCTGCATGATCATTCCCAAAGTTGAACCGTGGACGTGGAAATGATCATGCAGACAATGGACCCCGGACGAGGTGCGTTCCAATAAGTCTTCCTACCAATATGACCATGTTGCGGAAACAAGGTCAAACAACCACTATACAACGAAAGGAGACTGCGACTACACAAAAGGCCACATCATCTTGGTCTTCATAACTTAAAGATAAGATAGTCTATTAAAATGAATAGCTTAGGAAATACGTTAAATGTGAATAGAAATTACTTATGCTTGATTGATAGATTGAAAGAGAGAGAGAGGGTGTTGAGCCGCCGTCAAAAAGAAGACGACTCAATTTGTCTTCTCCCTGATGGTTCTAACTTCACTCACATTCGTCCAACATGTTAGAGTAAGCTCTTTAGCCAAACTAGACATATCAGATTACGCAACCCCAGTCTTACGTAATGACCCTTGACTGAAAGGTTAGGACAAGTAGTTTCGTAACTTGATTTTTATGCTTACAAGCTCATATTTCATTATCTTAACCATACCTGTTTACGGACCTACGCAGTCTCTTGAGTCATTAGGTCTTGAGGATCAGAATCTGAGATTTAACCTTTGACAACTCTGATTTAGGAACCGTATTGCATATAGACGCTAACACGCACAAATTCACACACTCATACAATCGAGCAAACATAACAGTACCAGTATGAAAGAAAATTAACCAAACCACTCCATACCGATCTATCTAGGTTTTTAGTTTTCAATTTTTTGGCTTGATTGAGTCTATATAAGAAGTAAGCTAGAGCCGGATAGTATTCTTGCTTTAGTGTTAAAGTGAGACTTTTACAAGAAGGACACCCAGCTCTGATGATGTCCATCGAATGATGGATGAAAGCTCAGCACATGAATATCGTATAAAACCCAACCGGCTGCACTACAACGAGTTTCATCAGTCCTCATCTGGTGAGATCGACCAAAGAATCTCTTCTTCATTCATTTTCATCCGAAATGAAGGTCCCCCTAACATGGTCTATTATAAGCCAATCAGAATTGGTGCACATAGACAACAATCAGTCTTGTGATAATTGCGAAACTAAATGCCACTAATTTTAATGACTTTTGTCTGTATCCTTTTTATTACGCTGAACATTGTCGGCGCTTACCGAAAAACGCATTTATTCATTATTGCCATAAACTCACATTAATTCTAAGAGAAGGATTTAATTCAGCCGTTCCAATCGCTTTAACATGAGTCTCTACATCGGTTAAACTTCGCCTGTAATCTGTCACCAGAATTCAAGCTCAGGAATTACAGATTCATAGGCGCTATGATTGAGGCATAGGCAAGTGACTCTGCAAAAACTATAAAATATGTGTACATATTGTAATTGTAACGGTTGTAATCCTATCTGCATCGAGATCCCGACAAATTAAAGAAAAATTAAGTTCATTCTGTTTTCTGTACATTATGACAATAAGTTGTTGCTTTTACTATAAAAGGACAATTAAAAGCTGGAATTGGAAAGTAGAGAAGTGCTTTCATTGTTGGCCAAAGCTCACTAATAAACGACAGTTTTGACGAACAAAAGCAAGCCTAGCACAAAGTTACCAAGCGAGATCTTCAGTTCCTAAGAATATTCTAACATCCGCCTGGTGTTTGCATGTCGTCTAACAATGCCACCGCTTTCTTCACATCCTCGCTTCTCTCACCTGACCATTTCCATTCAGAAATTAGACTCTTGCAACGCTCAGGTCATTCTTTCTGTCTGGGCCAGCAACTCAACTCTGGTTGATCATTCTTCTCCCGGCCGACCTTGGCTAAGTTCACTCAGCTCTGACCTGGCGAGCTCTCCGATTGATCCACCGTCTCTGCCGACGCAGATGCATGCCAATGATGCAGCCGAAGCGGCGAACACAGAGCAACAGGAGGCTTTCCAAAAACGAGACGAGATAGAATCTACGCAGCCATTTGCCGCAGCGAATGCACACACAAGAGGCCATCCAAACAAACAGGCCGATTTATGCGCTAATGCCACGAGGACAACTGAAGCGGATACAGAAACGGTTACAAAAAGCCCCGACTCCATAAGGCTCAATAGCAGCACAAGAATGATTTCAGGTCCACTTGCTTGGGTCACTAACCAGACGAAGACGCCCGGATTCCCCTGGGTAACCTCGGCACAGGAACACGACCTTTTATCGGCAATTACTCTTGTCTAGCAAAGTTAATCTCTTTCACCTTACAAACAAATCCTATATACATCTGTACCCCTCATTCTATTGCTCTCCTTCCTTCCGCTTTAACCAGGCCAGAAAGTTGTTTGTCAGTACTTCATACAGATGAGTATAGATGATAGGCATTGCGAGATTTGCGATATAGTCGCCTTAGCTGCTGTTCGCATGCCATAGCTTGCTGCCATTTCTATGCCACACGTTGCAATTTATTTCGTAAATTATATTCCTTTTCTTTATCCTCCTTCTCCTCCTCCGACTACTATTATTGTTGCTACCTCCACCACCAGCATTACAATCACTACTACTTGCATCAGTATTATTACTAAGGAAATCACTATGCAAACTATTACTATTACTACTAATGCTAATACTATAGCAACAACAACAACAACAACAATCATACTATTACCACTACTACTACTACTAATAATGCTGCAACCAATTATTATTATTATATTTCTGGTATTACTCCTACTATTGTTGAGGCTACTTTTACCACTATTGCTACTACTTTCGTCATCATCACCCTCACCACTACTGTCGCTAGCGTTACCACTGTTATTAGTCATATTATTTCCACTATAGCTACCTCTTCGGATACAAAGATCAACACACTCGCCTGCACTCAAATTCTCAGTGACCCCAACATTATGACAGACCCTCAACCGCTTTTATTTCAACCTATTCTCCTATCATGACTTACACATCCAGCTCAATGCCACAACGCCATAACTACGTACTAGCTTGTGATGCTGCTGTTTCAGCTCCTGCAAACTTGCCGGGAAATAGTGGAAAAACGAAGTTGGGAAGAAATATGCAAACTCACAGTGTTTTATATGGATTTGGCCATAAATCAGAGCTCGTGCACAATACGAAATAGGATTGGGCAAATTGATAGAATAAGCTGTCTCCGTGGCACACAACATTTCACACCTAGACACTCCTAATGCGTCTTTATTTATGACAGAAAAGACAATTCCTGGTTCATCGTCTTTTGGAGGCTTGGGAGTATTCAAAGTAAGGTCGTGTCATCGAATGATACCCCATCTTAGCTTGCGCTGAGTGGCTTGATTAAGAGAGGATGTCTGTTTGGGGGAAGAAAATTCACTGGCTCTCCATCGGGTTATAGCAACCCGATGGGTAGACCTTTTGACAGTGACGCCAGCTAGCCGATCAAGTGGTATTATGGCCTTGACTTGAAGAATCAGCTAAGGCCTGAACAGACATGTCTTCTTCCTGTCGGTCATTTACTATCACAGGGCACTATGAGTATCTACACCTCTGACAAAGGAAGTCGGTAGATTCAGAAGATGCCTCGTATCTGTCAAATTACGGCCTTGCAATTTCATTCCTTGACCCTTCGCCACCATAAAATATGTATGCAGCTGGCTTCTTTTAGCACAGCACAGTTCACATTGGCTATTCGTGTGTTTTCCACGGACTGCCTTTAATGATGGAGGTGAGAATAAAACTGATTATCCATCGAGAGGTAGTGATAGAACTGGCATTCTGTCAAGTTACTTTGTACTTTGGCTAATTGACACCTTCT